TTCTCCAGCCAACCATGCTGGCTGGGGAATTCTGGGAGCTGAAGTCCACACATCTTAAACTTGCCAAGGTTGAGAAACTGGACTAAATTGGAGCTTATTCCCTTTGGGTGAGAGGCAACTTCATATGTGCACATTGTTTTGTGGAGATAGAAAAGCAGAATCCTTGGATGAGCCCTGATAAGCTTTTCATGCAAAGTGTTTTGCAAAGCTGATGTAAGAGAGTAGCCAAGTCACCCCACAGATTCTGCCTGTTGGGACTTCTGTTTATTTACCTCAGTTAAATTGTGTGCATAGTGAGTGATGCTGACTTTTCACTCCACTTATGTATTCTCACCCCTTGCCACTGCCAAGGAGCGTAATTAAAGCTGAACAAGTTATCTTAGAGGTTTTTCCTAGAGGGATTGGAGATGCCATTGTTCTGTGGTATTTAGCATAATGAGTTGCGCTGATGGCTTCTGCCTTCTTCGGTCGTCTGGCTAATTCTACTGGCAATGTTTATAACTATAGTATTCACCCTTTTAGCTCCCTAAAGTAATACTGTTTTGTCGTAATGTTCCCAATAGCTACTTATTTCTTATATAGCAGCACCTGGCTGATCGTGTCTGAGTTGGGAACTAAAATAGAATTGGGCTCGTTAGTACTTGAAAAGGAGACCACCAAGGAATACCAGGCTATAGGTTAGACTGAGAAGTCTACAAAAATATCCCAGGTCAAGGGAATGGCAAATAGTTTCTGTAATGTTGCCAAAGAACCAATGTGGATATGTCCATTATATTGCCAAGAATTACACTTGATTAAAGGGAGACTTCCCTTTTGGAGCTTAAAGTGGATTTTCCCATTTCTTTAAAGAAATGTGGCATTTTGAGTTCTATAACATCAGCCCTTCTATATTCTCCCAAAACTAGTTGTGAGAACATTTTTTGGGGGGGGGGGGCGTTATATGCTGCCACTGCCAGCACAACCCATCTTTTCTATAATCTCAGGATTTCATTTTAAGGCAGTAGATATGATTATCTACTAATATCACATCCTCTGTGGTAAGTTAGAGATTCTCCCTGAAAGGTACAGAGATTCACAGCCATCCACTTTTAGTGAGAATTAACTCTTCCTTTATGTCAAAGTTAGCTTGGTGGTCACAGGTTCTTTAAGAGGAGCCCTTGTTGTTGGGTCAGTTAAATAACATTGCTCTGGGAGAAGCACTGACCCTCTGAACTTCATGCTTGGTGTGTTGATGCAGCCACATCTCTCTTTTCATGGTTTCTGCAGCGTACTTTGCCAAAGTGACCCATTTCTTCTTCCTCTTACTGTGATACTCTCTGTATGAGGCTGCTTGGGCTCTGACTGACTGTAAAAGCTCAGGTCCACTCTAGCTCCTGCTGCGTTGATTACCCATTTGCTTCCAGGGGCTGATTGTGACCTTTAAAGTTCTAAATAGGTTGGGAGGAGACCAAAGTTCTCAGAAGACAAGACTCTGCCCAGCCTTTGTACGGGCAAATAGAAAGGTCTCCTCTGAATCCTCCCATGCCCTTTGAAGTTAGGATGAAACCCACATGGATGAGGGCCTTTTTGGTGCTTGCTCACATTTTATGGAAGTTCTCAGCACCTGCAGTTCACTTATTGCTTTCTGTTTTTAGGTATACCAGGCGGAATGTCAGCTTTCCCCCCTGCCCTTGGTTGGATTTATTTAGTTGCTTTTTAGCCTGTTTTTCCCCCCAGCCATCTAATGGGTTGAAGTTTTAGATGTATCTGTGTACTGTGACTTAAAATATTGGTTTTAATTTTGCTTTATTTACATTTCTAGCTGCTTTGAGTTCTTTTTAAAGTAGGAAAAAGAGATTAAAATATTGTAACTGAATACCTCAGATGCTCAATTCATTGTTATTTGAGCATGTTAATGCCTTTTTTTCTCACATTAACGACCAATTCCCATCAGCATTGCCTCTCCCCCTTCCTATCTCTCCTTCTCACCCAGTTTTTTTCCTTTTCCATCCCATCACAATGTTGATGTGTTGTCGACTCAGATGCAGCACTGTGAAAAATTGCCCCAAAAGATGCATGCTGTCATATCAAACTGTTCCATTACTACAGCATTAATCTGAGAGAAGGTCTTTGCATTGAAGGCAATTCATTTGAGCAGATGGCTGCTCTTTCCATGTTGCCTGCCCTAATCCGCGTTCCTCTCTCCCCCCAGAAAACAGACATCACGGAAGAGTCCTTCTCGGCCTTGGCTAGCAGCAAAGTCAAGCGGGTGTGCCTGATTGGCAGGAGGGGTCCCCTCCAGGTGGCTTTCACCATAAAGGTAAAACAAAAAAAGGAGGGAGAGCAGTTCAGTCAGAGGTCCTGAACCTCAGTGAGGTTGTTTCTGCTACAAAGACCAGTTCACATTAGGACAGAAATGGATAAGAAGGGGCCACCTGAAAACCCACGCAGCCCCAAGCCCTGAGTGCAGCCCTGAAGCCCTCTGCAAACCTGCTGCTGAGTGATAATGGTCAGTGTAAACATTGTGAAATACTTAGGGAATAAATATATGCATATATGTCAGCCCATCAAGATAGACCAGACTAAGAAACAAATATAGTTCAGAACTACATTTATTGTAACAGCTATAGTCACAGACTCTGCAAGTCTGAATGTATTCCCGCCCTCCCCCCGCCTTTATCTTTGTGTGAACTAGGGAGAGGTTTTCTCACATTACTTTCTTGGCTCGGGCTCATGTCCCTCTTATCTGACTGTTGCATTGGTAGCAGCTCTTCCCCCTGTCCTTCAAGGCCATTCCCTATTCCCTCTACAATATATTACTTTTAATTATTTTCACCTAATTGTTTGGGTTCTGTTCCCTCTCACTTTGGGGAGAGCAAGTGCAGTGTACCAGTCAAAGGACAAATGCAGCCCTCGGATTGTGGCCCCTGTTAAGATCAGTCATTGAGTAGAGTTTGGAAGCTGAAGTAGTCCCATAGTGTTGGATGCCCAAGCAGCTAGTGAATGTACCACTCTGAATCTAACCAATCTGCCTCTGTGTCGTGGTTCTGAAGGAGGAAAGGATACCCAAGGTTTACCTCACACCTGCTGATGTGATAGAAGCGCACTGTTCCTCTCAGGGTACATCACAGGCAGCTGTACATCAGCTTGCCTGATCGGAATCATGTGATGGTTACCTACTATGAGTATCGTCTTAATTTGCTTTTAAAGTTCTGGTTGCATGTGCAAGGGTTAAGCAGAGTTTGGAAAGCTTCAGATCCAGGCATGCTATAATTCTCAGGAGATTCTTCTTTTACTGTCAGTAATACTTGCCCAGGTGACAGTGCCTAACCAGCTTTGGCTGATCTTGGAAAACTAAACCTACCATCCTCTGTATGTTTGAATGCCAATTTTCCTGCATCACCCACACTTTTGCCCTGTGTTTTTGTCTCTGAAACCCTCAGGAGCTGAGGGAAATGATCAACCTCCCCGGCGTTAGACCTCTTCTGGATCCTGCAGATTTCAGAGACCTTGGAGATGCCATTAAAGGTGAGGATCAGCTAGTTACTTGTTTATAAAATTAGTGTAGAGTAACAGATTAATACCTGACATCAGCTAAATCTTCAGTACAGGTAGCCCTTGCTTAATGACAGTAACTGGGAACGGAATTTCTATCACTAACCAATGCGATCATAAAGTGTGACATCACGTGACCCCATCACTTTGCAAGAGCAGTCCCGATTGCTGTTGTTAAGTGAGGAATGTGGGTTGTTAAGTGAAGATCTCCTTCAGACTTCCTTCCAGCTTCCAACAAGGGAAGTCAGTGGGGAAGCCGGCAGGAAGTTGCAAGCCCTAGGCAGCTTGCTAGCAGGCCGGCGGCCAGGTGAGGGAGGTTGCACAGGCTGTTGCCATGATGCTGCGTGAGGCTACTGTGGGGTGGGGGAGGTGTACAGGTGGCTGCCGCAGGCAGGTGTGTGTGCTGTGGGTGCATGCGTGTACTATGGAGTACAAGATCCCCAGGATCTTATACTCCGTAGCCAGGCTTCTCAAGAGAAAAAGCTGTGGGGGTGTGAGTGACTTATAGGAGTGACTTGCAACCTTTCCTGCCAGCTTCTCCATTGACTTTACTTGTGGGAAGCCAATAGGGAAGGTCACGAATGGTGGTCACATGACCACAGGACACTGCAACCATCATAAGTGCGAGTTGGTTGCCAAGCACCTAGATCACAATCATGTGACTGGGGGTTGCTGGGATGGCCAGAACTTCAAGGACCGGTCGTAAGTACCACTCATTCAGTGCCATCATAATTTGAATGGTCGTTGAATGAGTGGTCATTAATTGAGGACCAATAGTACCAAAACCTTTTCCTTCCACAATATTCTCTAAATGGGAATCTTTGTTCAAAAGCTTAGGTGGACTTTTCCTTCACCTCCTACTGGGCTGTTTGTTTTCACTAATGTTTATCATATTTTTATTTACAATTGTTTATATGATTTTAAACTGTCAGGAAGGATTGAAAGGCAAAGTATAAATAATTGCAATAAATGAATTATACTACAATGGTTTTGGGCTTCCCTAAATGAGATTGGGGTGATGGATGGTTTAGCCCAACACATCTGGAGCAGGCCAAGTTGGGGAAGCAGAGGTGACATTATTTCATATCTAAAGGATCAGGCTGTTTATTAAGGCTGGAATTAGAAAGCTGGCACAATGTTGATGCTTATGAGCACACTGGACATTTTAAATAATTGTTGTGGCTATATGTCTGGTCACAAGCTGGCCACTGTCATAGGGTTGTGATCAGTCACAAAAAGGGTTCTATCTGTGACTTTTCTGTCTTATCGCAGAGACTTAAAGAATAGCCAGTCAAGGGGAGAGGGAGACACCCAGGGAGAAAAGCAAACAGGCAGACAAGCACTTCCAGATGGGGAAATGGTCAAGGGGTCAGGCAGAAGGAGGGGTAGGGAGAACTCAGGCATGCTTCTTCCTGTTCAAATGCCTGGGAAATTTAGTCCATAGATTTGCATGGGAGGAAAATCCTCCTTGCCTAAAATTAAATGGAGTGGGGAATAAAACCTCCTCATTGCTCAAGACAGAGATATCTCCATTCACCAGCCCAGGGGAGGAGTGGAATTGTCTGGCAGTCTCCTCAAAGGAGACTCCCGTGAAACAGTATATTGGTGTGTTCTGGCATAGTTTTGCCATTCCCAGAGCTACAGCAAGAGAATAAACAAATCCCCCAAAGAGTGTGAAAGTACAAAGAGAAGCTGAGTTCCCATGAATGAAGCAATTTGGACTTGGACTAAGCGAATTAAGGTAGAGATGGAGAATTTGTAGGCTACCAGATGTTGCTGAACAACAAGTCCCAGAATCCTTCACCACTGGCCACTCATCGTGGAGCTGCTAGGTGGAACAACATTTGAGGGTAAAGGTTCTCTACCCCAGTGTCATTCTGATGTTCTCCTCACCCTTTTTCTGTGCTTGAACAAGCCAGCAGGAACCTCAGATGTGTCATCCAGATGGCAATTACTAATGTTTTGAGGTTATTCAGCAGGTGGGTATTTTATAATGTAATCATTAGCCAAAATGACCCAGGCCAAATGAAAACAACTATGTTGTAGTCATTAGGTGTAATGATTAGGCCGGACAAAAACTGATTTTTAAAACCCTGGGAAAATTGAAGTCAGTCGCCCCCATCCTCAAATTCCATGCCAATTGTTATGAAGGTTAACCCAGGACAAATTTGTACTGCAGCCATCTCTTGAAATGGTTTAGCATCCTGTGTTTTTAGTGAGCCAGGCGTATCTCCTAGTTTTTCCTCATTTTCCAGCAGAACATCTCTTCGTAATAATAATAAACTGCCACCTGTGCTGCTGGGTTGAACTGCAGTGTTTTGAACAGCAACCTGGTTTGTAACCTTGGGAGGGGGCTGGGGCCGTTCCCTGGCGGAGGTTTCTCCAGAAAACAGCTCTACAAAGCAGATTTTCTGCAAACTGAGTGGGGGTGGGGGGGTCAAAGAGAAGAGCAGAGAAGGATGCGACAAAGGTGCTTAAAGGTACAATTGTAAAATTTAAATTAGAAGAAGCTGTAGATGGAATGGTTTTTCAGGAGCGTTAGATAAATACTGTGCTTAGATTTCTATTTCAGAACTGAGCTGTCCTGAATTGGCTTTCTTCTTGCATCAGTGGGGCTTGTGCTAATATGTTTTTCCTAATTTCTAATTTCAAAAGCCAGAGTTTTCCTCTTTCCTTTACATGTAACAACCTAAGGAAGAATCTTTTTGTGGACTGGTTTTACTCTCTGCTGGAGGGGAATTGTCAGCTTACATGGCTTTGACCGGGAGAGAGTGATCTGAGTTTTTTTCACCACATCACCTCAATGGACTTCATTCATACTGATCACTCACTTTTGTATTCACTTTTGTATACATTCAGCATGCATTTATCTTCTTAAATAACTACTTTCAAATGGATTCAATTTATTTTTATACTTCTCCTAATATACCCAACTCTTCCTTATTGCAAAATTGGTAGTAGTACGCTCATATATGTGGCCATTTTCACTCCTTTCCCCAAATGTTCATTCACAACAGAGCACATATTAGCCCTATCTTTCTACTAGTATTTGTGTGTCTTAAAACGTTTTGATCCATTTTTCTATCATCAGTGCATATTTTGTCAAGAGGTACAAATTCATAAATTTTGCCATTTATGTAAAACTTGCAATTGTTCATTCCATTTTTTCTGTCAAACACAACTACCTTGATCATACGTTAATAAATTTTTAGATCCATGCTCCTTGTTGCATCATAAAACCTATCTAACATTCACTGCAAATTATACAGGTTCTCAGCCAACAACACAGAATCTTCTGCATACATGTGCACACATTCACATCCCCAAACAACACAGCTCTAACTTCGCCACAAGCATTCCTTATATATTTTTCAATAAATGTATTACTCAACCCAAGGGACATCATACATCCTTGTCGTACTGACTTGGTGTGAAACTGTTTGCTAAGCAATCCATTTATTCTTGAGCATGCTTTACTTCATCACATATTGCTCTTACTTTATTTAGCAGCCAACCTTCAGCTCCATATCCATGTAAAACATTCCATAATTCATGCCTATTCGCTTTATCTCATATTCTCTGTTGTTATCTAAACATACAATAACCTTTCCTTCTCACATCCAGTTATATTTTAATAAATAATAAAAAGCCATGGATTATTAAATTCGTTGCATAATAATATAAATGGTATAAATTATATTAATACATAAAAAATAAAAGACTCCCTGCAATGAATGTGATTTATAGCTCCAAAGCATGTGGGAGGCGTCCTGGTTAGAGGGCATCTGGTAGTGACACCTGCTGGATTCACACCTTTGCGTTTAGGGAAATGTGATTTGTTTGGTTTTGGCCTAGCCCATTATCCCTCGCCATTGGGATTTGTAAACTGTAATATTTCCTGTGAATCTAGCCACTGCGATGTATTCAGTGAATCCAATTAAATCAAATGTTGTGTTGCTTTGCTAGGAGTTTTCCTGATGGGAAAAGAAAACACTTCAGTTTGGTTCTCCCTTCTTCCACATCCCACACATGCTGTTCAGGTTGACTTGTTCAAAGAGAATGAGGGAAGGAAGGAGGAGAAATATGTTCCTCATATTTTGCTGTTTGGTTTAATACAAACTTCAACCTAGTTTTTCAGGTTCTGATGGCTTACAGAATAATTATATATATATATAAAGAGAGAGAGAGAGGGAGGGAGGGAGAGTCTTTCTTCAGGCTATTCTTTTGTCATCATCACTCACACAATGGTGAACTGCCTCCTGGAAAATGCCTTGTTTTCCAATACTTTTGTAATTTTCAGACATCCCAAGACCTAAGAAACGTCTGACTGAGCTGATGACCAAAACAGCTTTGGAAGAACCATCGGAGGAGGTGGGTGGCCGCTGGGCTTCAGCATCCAAAGAATGGAGATTGAAGTTTCTGCGCAGTCCACTGGAAGTGTTGCCCACCATTGATGGAAAGAGAGCAAGAGCAATCCAGTTAGCAGTCACCAGGTTGGAAGTACGATCTCAAATGTTTTCTTTCTGGGTCTTCAACCTCTTAACTTTCCCCTTTGTTCTTAATTTAGCCCTTTAAGGTCTGCTGCATCCTTTAATTTTGGAGATCTGGCAACAACACCCCCCACCCCGCCTTTTGGCATTAAGTTAAATACAGGTTTATTCTCCCAGTCTAATTAGAAGTGCCAGACTAACTGCCTGCTCTCTGGAAGCTTAAAAGGGAGACTCTCAATAAGCCAGTATATGTGTCTCCAAGGATTCAGTTTCTGTGTAGCATTGTGAAAAGAACTCTCCCTGTTGGTTTTGTATTGATATTTGTGATAGGAAGGTGTTCTAATAATAAAGCTGATCAGCCTGGCCAGCATCTAGGAGGAGAGTTGGCTTAGGGGACTAGCAAAGAACTGGCTTGCAACTATTTTCCTTTAGAATCTGTAGCATCTTAAGGTGGGCTCCCATTCCGTCCACACTTCCTTGAATTCCCTAAAAAGTATTTAAGCCTTGGGTTCCCTGATCATGCAGCTGATTTATAGGGGGGTCACCCTAACACTCTCCTCCTCTATTTCCCTGTTCCTGGACTGTGCAGGGTGCAGGAGATGCTGTGAAAGCAGTTCCCACTGGAGAAGTCGAGGAACTAAGGTCTGGCCTGGTTTTTAGCAGCATTGGGTACAAAAGCCTTCCAATTGACCCTGCAGTGCCCTTTGACAGCAAGCGAGGCGTTATTCCCAACAATTCAGGCAGAGTTCTTGGGGCACCAGGTTAGTAGAACTTGTGCTGTGCCGCATGATAGAAATTGGTGTGATAAAGACAATGGGGAATCAGATAGGCCAGCTACAGGGCTGAAGAATGAATGGCCAGGGTGGGTTTTTGGGACTCAGATTACGTATGCACAGCCTATGCTAGCCATTAAAAAAAAGAAGACGCTTTTCCAGACCTCAGCTTGTACTGGTCTTGAAGGGCTAGTGCAAGTATATCTGAATGACCTTTTTGTGGCATCAGCAGGAGACATTCAAATGAATACACCACGAGAAGGAACTGCAGATTCCTGGCCATTGCTTGGATCTGTTCAAAATAAAGCACTGGGTCCCAATTGCCTCAATTGCCTGGTTGGGCATTATGTTTTTCAGGGCTCTATTGCAGCGGCTGGGTAAAGCGTGGACCCACCGGTGTAATCATCACGACTATGAATGATAGCTTTGACACAGCCCAGTCTGTGCTAGAAGATCTGCAGTCTGGTGCCTTGGAGCTCTCTGGTGCCAAGGAAGGCTTTGATTTAGTGAGCCACATCCTTCGATCCCGAGGTGCGTATGTGACATACTCTGTATTTGCCTCTTAGTCTCTCTAATACACTGTTTTCCATCCTTGGTAGCTTTAAGATGGGTGGACTTCAACTCCCAGAATTCCCCAGCCAAGCTTGAGAAACCTGCTCTTATGCATAGGTGAGGAAGCATCTGTGGCAAGCAGAATGCTACTAAAATAAATCTCTAAGTAGCCCTCAACATTGATTCTGCTGGCTGAAGCTCCTGAGTTTATATAACATCTGAAATGTCACAAGTTCCCCACTTCATATTGGAACCCTGTAATAAGTTGGAATACCCCAGCTAATGAATATATTTTAATTAACTTTAAAACTGAGTGGCATCATGTTTACACGACTATCTTCAATTCTTCTTTCCTAGAACCCAAAGCCCTATCTTAAATGTTTTTGGCAGGATCTCCTTGTGCTGTGACAAATATCTTTATATTCTTAGTCTAAGCTCATTGTAATGCTTTGAGATGAGTTGTTTACTTTTTATTGTTGGGTTGATATTGAAATATGGGATTTTCCCAAGCTGTCTCGAGGAGCTTGTGTGCTTCTTGAGCCTTACAGCTGATCTTTCTGAGTTTCACCTGTTTGTCTCAAAGAAACACATGCCTGCTTGAGGAAAGATCTCCCCAAATGTAGTCCCCAAACTTTGCTAGCTCTTCAGCTGCCTATTCAGATAATGGGGTTGGGGGAAAAATGTAGCCTAAAAATATTGGACAGGAATGTTATTCATGCAGGATCTTTCTAATGACAAGGTATTTTTGCTGTTTGACAGTTTTCCCCCCCTGTCCTTATGTACTTACGCTTATAAACATCTATGCTTGAACCTCTTATGCAGAAGTATCCCCTGAGATTGTAGGCTGCAATCTTAAATAGACTTTCTAGGGATCATGTCCCCTTGCCTACTGTGGGGCTTATTTCTTTCTGCAGATTTGCATAAGATTGCATTGTATCTAGAGACTCAAATGGTAGAGGGACAAGGGGTCCCTCAATAAGAGGATGCAGCTGATATCTCTGCCTAGGTAAAAGACAGCAGGAAGCAATTGGCAGGGCCAGGGACCCCCTGGCAAATGACAGATTTTCTACCCAGGTCTCTTTTTATTTTCTTTGGTTTTTTCATACAGGAGGGCACACACTTGGTGTGTTACCGTGAGAACCAACTAGAACGATAAAGCAGCAATTTCAGTAGGCTTAGAAATGTAAGCAGATTGTCCTCAAGTGAGCCCTGGGTTTGATAATTTCATAGCATCATGTGAAACCTGGAAAAGGATCAAAGGAATTGGCTCTCTTTTTACAGATGTGATTGAATTTGAATCAGTTTTTCTATGGCTCTTTCCTAATATATCTGGGAATGCATTTGAAAGCCCAACTGGGTCCTTTATTGTCAGTTTATTTAAATGCTTTCAATTAGTGTGTTCCCTCTAAACTGATTCAGAATGTTTCAATGAACCAAAGGCAATTTGTCCCTGACGATAGAGTGAGGCTGTGAGAAGAATCTTCCAAGAAACGGATAAGTAATTTGATTTGACTGGCACTCTTGAGTCTGCCTGGTCATTTGTGTGGAGAGCATGTCTTTAATTCAGAATCTGATTCTGAAGAAGCCTCTGCCCAGGGCTTCTGAGATGTGTGACTGTGGTTCACTGGGATGTTAATCTGTACTTCCCCTTTCTCTGCCAATCAACAGGGGTCCACCCTGTTTCCTTTTTGGATTGGGAGAAGATTGATGCTGTTGAAGTGGCAAGAGGCAAGTTGTCTGGAAAGCCTCGGGAGAAAATAGTCGATCAGGAGGAAATGCTAGAACTGATCGGACACTGAGACTGGACTTGCCCAGGGCGATCGACATGATGCTCCTGCGCCATTCAAAGGTTGCAAGAGATTGTGCAGTTCCCTTTCATTACTCTACAGATATTCCACTAGCAACATCTACTGGGTTTTAACATCTGAATCAGTTGAGGGTACTGAAACTTGTTGCTATCCCAAGTGATGGGTTTCATCTAAAGTCTGGTACAGTGTTTCTCAACTGTGGTAACTTTAAGACGTGTGGACTTCAAGCTGGCTGGGGAATTCTGAGAGTTGAAGTCCACACGTCTTAAAGTTACCAAGGTTGAGAAACACTAGTCTGGTACATCCTTGCGCTGTTTCTATTGAGGAGCTCTCTGTTTCTCTGGAGCTACTCCAAGCAACTCCCAAACAGGAGCAGTTCTCTCTTTGTCATGGTCCCTGTAGAAAAGGGGACTGGAGCAGGTAAAGTCTTTCAGAGTTTCATTTTCAGGGATTTATAAACAGGTGTAAGTGCCTTATCTGCTTTTGCAAGGATCTGTGAAGGGTTTTTTTTGTGGGGTGGAGAGGGAATTGAGAGTGGTGGTTGCATTTTGTTTTATCCTGGTCTCATCGCCACATGTACAAACCAATTGAACAACTGCTGGGCGTGATTTCCACCACAATCCCTCCTTTTTCCCTGCAATTCTGCTGATCTTTTGCCATTAGATCTGCTGACATCATGACAGCCTTCATAGAACATTCACAATTAAATGGGCAGAGCATTCCACGTGAGTTGGGCAGCTTTACAAAAGCTTGAAATAAATAAATAAATAAATAGCAATTTGTAGGTTGCTTTGAAGATGCTGGATGTAAGTGTAAAATCAGTTTTGCTTTAGAGGAAAGGAGGAGATCAACTTGGTCTGAGTAATCATGAGGATAAGCCAGATAGGAAAGGCAATATCAGTCACTTTTCCTATTAGCTCTGAAATTCATTCCTGTTCACATCCTGACTTTGCTATCCAATTGTGGATTGTATAATCATTTTTTAAAAATAAAGCTCTTTCTCAGATGGTGAACCTGGGTCAGCAGTCTAGACTTCAGTTTGTTGTCAATGATGAATCCTTTAGCCACAACATATGCTGATTAACCTATTGCTCTTGCAATTCAAGGAGCTGGAAAATGCAGGGCTGGGCTTCATAAAGTTGACTGATTCTTGCCAGATTCCGGTGCATACTAATTCTTGATAGGTCCTGGGAAATCAAGGGAAATGGCTTCTTTTTTCCTAGAAGTTCAAACTGAAGATGGATTACTACTAACAAATTAAATAACATACATGTGTACTTAATAAGCTTACTCTTAAGGAATAGTATAAGAGAAAATTCACATAAACTATAACTGAGCCTACCATTCCATTCCACTACTGCAGACTTGAATGTAAAAGTTTTGAAATGTAGGTGAAGAGTGTGTGGTTTAACATTTTTCTCCACTTCCTTTTTATCTAAAAAATGGCTCCACATCAAGAAGCAGCAGCTTGCATCCATTCAGGTTCAGCTACTTCTCAGTCCCAGCAATTAAGATGGGAAGACTTGGCAGGAGACTTTTATTTATTCATATTGGAAATTTAATTTGAAGGTTGGGATTAATGCCCCCGCTGGAAGAAGTATTGAAGAGCAGAAAGGCAATCTTTGGGGCCTCCTGCTTTGCACACTTGAGACAGTTGACTATCATGTAAATTCACTGTATGGACTCCATGCCTTTGAACTGCCATTATATTAATTGGGGGCCTCCTGGCCATCTGAAAACCTGGGGGTCCTCTCCTTCCAAGATGAAATTCCTGTGGACCTTCAACTTCCTTGTCCTGAATGTTCATTAGGTGGCGCCATGAGGCCACACTACTGTATTACTTACAGCCTCCAAGAAAGTAGATGGCTTCTAAAAAGTTTGTGGGAATACCTGAAGTTTACTTAAAAGTCTGCCTTCCTGCAACCTGATGCCCTCCAGATGTCTTGGACTTCTAACTTCCATAATCCCTGATTAGTAAGACCTTTGGCACCAGGAGGGCACAGGTTTGGGGAGTAATTGACCTAAACATGAATTTAATGCTATACCACCATAGTCACTAAAGATGATGTGTAAAAACACAGCCTGGCTGTTAAGGGCAAAGTTTGCTCTTTGTGCAGGAAGCCACTTTCTGATTATAATTCCTGATTCTGGAATGAGGATTCTGCTTTCCTTACCTGCTACCATATTGAGGGTGCTTCTAGCTTCCTGTAGAAATGATAAGTGTGCTAAATTGAAAGAGCAGAGGTTAGGAAGTTGGGGGATTAATGCAGGACATTTCTCCACTTGAAATTTACAGCAGAACTGTATTGTCCTGACAACCTCAATCTTCCTCCATGGTCACATGACACTGGCCTCATTTCTTCCTCTTCTCATGATTTAAACTATCTTAAGTTACCACTTTGTGTACTGAAATAGAAATAACCTCTCCCTCCTTAATTTTACACTGCCCTCTGCACACTTCAAGATGTCAACAAAATCTGTAATGTTTTGTCAACCATGATTTTGGAGACAAGGCTAGGTGACCTTTTGTAAGTGTGACCAGGGCTGTATTGTGGAAAGGGCAGGTGCTTCATGTCTCTTTGGGTCATTGGTCAGGCGCTACACAGCCATTTCTCTCCTAGTGTTTGCCTTTCCTATAGCATTTTGTTTTTTCAGTTCCTTTTATCCCTTTGCCTCTCCCCTTCCCTGTATTTGAAAACAACTGCTCTTCGGGCTTCCAAACAGGTAGAGAACAGATTTCCACTATTTTGTCTGGGAAAGAAGAGAGGGCTCATTTACACAACTGTAAAACACCACAAGTAAGTGGAGAGCTTTTATCTTTAGATGAAGCAACTGATTTCCTCACTGCAGTTTCTTGAAGTAAATGAGGGGCTAGTCAGTTTCAGTTCTCTGGCTCTACAGGACCTTGTTAGTAATGAAAGAGTCTATTCCCTTCCTCTTGTCTATTCCTCTTCCCTTCTGTCCCGGATGTCTCCTTGTGTGTATCTTAATTAACCAGTCTGAATCAAAATCTGATACGTTACATAGTTAATTGGGAGCTGTCTTCCCATATGAGTCTTTATTTCATATTATTTTGAAAGTTTGAGATGGGAATGGGATGAAGACAGGCAAACTTGCCTAGAGATGCCCAAGCAAAGTCCCAAAATTGTGCAATAACATCAGACTCCCCCCCATTCATTCTGCAAATAATGGATATTTGCCTGCTGGCAGATGATGTATTGACAGGGATGGCAGTAAAGCCAGAGGATAAAACCAATCATCTTGCCTGTAACAACATGTGCATCCCCAAAATCAGAGCTACATCTTTCCATAGGGAATCACAAATGATGTTACTGAGGCAAGATAGGATTGAGGTTCTGCACAGCCAAGTTTATGATGGGATAATTTGCTGCCAATGCAAGGAAGGCTGGATAATATTTTAACTCAGTAGGAAGGAAATGACCATAAAGGATTGGTTTTGGGGAACAGTTGCCTCTGAACTGGGAAACTGTCCTAAGCCTGTTCTGGATGCATAATGGCCATGAAAGCAATGGCTGTCCAGTGTGCTAAGTCTGGATACCTCAAACCTTGATTGATTTACTTATTAAAAAGCAATAATATCAACACAAGCACGTCTTGATGGCTCAGTATAGACCAGTTGCTATGGCTGCTTCTGAGAAACTTGAGGTGCTTTTATCTCTGACAGAGTATGTCCAAAACTAAACCCACATTGTATGTGTTTCAGAAATTAAAGAATATTTTTAAAGTTGATCGTAATGACATTACAGATTATGGACTAAAGAATTGAAACATCCGATAATGGGACATCAATAGTTTCATGTCCTAAAGAATGTTAAACAAGTTTCATTGAATTTAAGATTAAAATTGATGCATCAAAAGATTCTATTCTGGATACCCCAAAGAATGTATTTGAAAGGATGGATGTCAGATTTCCTTTGTTGTCAATGTAAAACATTTGGGGGCCTCACATGATTTGGTCTTGTAAGCCACTGACTTCTTTCTGAAATAATGTATTATCATAAGTAGATTTATGGAGAAATTGGTAATGTTAAAGATGTTTATGTAATGTTAAATTATGTCCCAAATCTCTGGAATTTGACTGTTGGGTAATTATGGTTATACTGGGCATGGGGTATTGCTAAGATAATTATTTTGAGGAATTGGAAAAGTAGTATTGTTCCTGATATTAAGGATTGGATTCAAGAGATTTTAATCTGTTTTTATCTATTAATCAAAAATAATGCAGTGCGTTTCCCTTTGGCACAGATTTTATGATATCTTTCAACAATAGAGTATTATTTGTTTTTAATCTAGAATTTTTAAAATGTTGTTTACTATTTGATGCAATGTGATATGCTTAGATAATCCTTTTTCTTCTTTTTTTTTCTTTGTTGTTTTGTATGCTTTTTTTCCCTATTTTTGGGTATCTTTTGTAAAACTTGTTATAATAAAAAAAATATTAAAAAGCAAACTCATTTCAAAAGTGAATGTGAATTCCAGTTTCACATGTGCTCTCATCATTTTTCTTACTTGGATATGAAGAAGGCAGTTGCTACTTTTCAAGGAGCCAAATGAGGAGCCAAATCAGCGTGCCATGCCAAAAACAGACAACCCACATTATGCGATAGCTGAACCTCTTCACTGTGGCAATAAACAGCTTCCATTTCCATCTGGACCTCCAACAAAGAGGTATTTACTATACTCCATGGGCTTCTTGTACAACGCTCAACTAGTTTGCAAACAAAGCACTGTTGACTTTTGGGGCTTCTGCTTGTCTGTTTTATTTATGCATCTGTGGGTTTGGTTATCAGTACAAGGCTGGTGACAGAACATACCCCTCTACCTTTGCACTCTCTCTCCCTCTCTCCCCAGTTCAAACATAAAGCATTCTTTAATTTTCTTCCTAGTGGGGTTTCTCAAAGTAATATTTCATGTATGCTTACAAGCTTCCAATCTTTCTCAGGGAAAAACAGTCAGTTGTGTGAATGGATGATAGGTAGATTTTTTCCCCACAAGGAGTTCTTCTAGCTCTCATTGTTCCCTCCCGAAGGTGTTCATCTGCCTTCTATATCTGTTCTGGCCTGCCAGTGGGCTGGATTTGTTACCATTAGTTAGTTAGTTATAAAATTTATATAACCGCTTCTCTTACATACAGCAATCCTAGGCAGCTCACAACAAAACCAATAAAAGTGATAAAACAAATGTCACCCACACACAGAGCAGCACACTCCCCACTAGGGCACTATAACATCCCTCTGTTGAACATTCTCGCCCAATCATAGGCATTGGTTTGAAATTGCTCCCATTTGAAAATACAGACTGGTGGGCTTCTTCATGCAGATGGTTGGCCACTGTGAGAACAGAGTGCTGGACTAAATGGGCCAGGGGTCTGATCCAGCAGGGTGCTGCTAATGTTCTTATGCTGGAGAGGAAGTTGTGAAGGCTCATATCTAGTGACAGAGCACATACTTTGCATGCAGAAGCCCAGGCTCAATCGTCAACAACCCTAGGTGGAAGGCTGGAAAAACTCCAGCTTGAAACCAAACGAGTGGGGATCAGGTCAGACTTGGCAATATTGGGCTACATCAGTCTTTCCCAAGCCTGACAACTTCCAGATGTGTAGACTTCATCTCCCAGATCTCAGCGAAAAGGCAGCTTCTGAAGCATGAAAGCCAGCCTTTTGTCTAATGTGCAAATTCTTCAGTGTGGCAAATGTGTTCTCCTGCAAAATTGAGGTAACTCATTAAAGTGCTTAGAAGGAACTTGTATTTATCCATTGGTTCTGCTTTTATAAAAGCATCAAACTCTGCTAAGCCTGAGCATGTTAATCTCCATACATGAGCATGGCTTCCCTAAAAACATTTAAGTCTACTTTTATCTGACAGTGATCAAACAGTACAAGAGGGAAATGTTTCAGGATTTTAAATGTTGTCTTAGATACTTTCTCAGACGCATGAAGGTCAAGAGCAACAGCTAAAAGTATAATTTACTGCTATGAGTTTCTCCTTGCACACATTTGGTGCACATCTGAGATATACAGCTGCCCCATAAAGAATTACATAGCCTTGAGAACAGAGATTAAGAAAAATGGAACTGTAAGACATTAGAATGCTGTACTTAAAAATCCTACATTTCACAACTGAGATAAAATTTTCACTGCCTAAAAGCATCAGCTTCCATGCAAGCTTGTATTTTTTTTAATTTGGTCGAATACTTTAAGAATGTATTATTAAGGGTATAGTATGCTGCCTTTCACCATATTAAATACTGAAAAAGAAAACATGCAAAAATGTAAAACTAGAATCTCTCCTTCTAACCAACTTTATGCACTCCTAAGCTTCAGCTGCCCCTATAGAGCCCCAGGTGGGTTAAGTAGGCTTCAAGGGAGAGAATATGCACATCTGTCTCAGTAGACAGTTTGAAAGAGAAAAAGAATGGATGAACTATAAATGGAAGAACTTGTAACACAGTTTCTCCATGGTACAGCCCTCTTCTCGTTCCCAGTCCATGAATGAGACAGCTTGCAGTCATTTTTAGCTGCAGCAGTGTTAAAAGTAGTTTTTTCCCACTGTTCAAGGACAACCTCAAGGTATATAAAATTCTTTAGATTTTGTTACCTTGGAAGGAGGTGGCTATAGAGGCTTGAAACAGAGACAATAGAACAGTGTTTCTCCACCTTGGCAACTTGAAGACGTGTGGACTTGGCTGGGGAATTCTGGGGGTTGAAGTCCACACATCTTCAAGTTGCCAAGGTGGAGAAACACTGCAATAGAGGGATCAACAATGGAGGCAGCAAGTTTCATGTCTGTTTAGTTGAACTGCTTTCCAATTCAGCTCTGAGGCTTATCATAATGCTCTCTATTGAGGGTGCAAACCATACACAGCAGAAAGGATACTCAACTTGCTGATCCAACACGTTATCTCTTCTTTTTAACCAAGGGGCTTCTTGGAAGGCAGAGGGCATGGTAGGGGGTTGGCCTCTCAATACAAATGTTTTATTCCCACTAGGGAAGCCAAGGGCAAAAGGCAAACATTCAAATGTGTGCTTTTCCAGCAACAAAGGGGAAGAACCCAATTTCTGGCAATTATAGAATGAGCCAGAATTGTTGACTCTTTCAGTGAGTTATCACCAGAATCCTTAATAGCACTTCTAAAAACCTCAAGAATTCCCCAAGATGGGCAGGTCTTTTCCATTCTGGGGGAAGATAGAGATATGAAATAGGCACCTAAATTTGCAAAAGTATAAGGCCTTTATTTTGCCTGAGAAACCTTCTGTAAGTACCCAAAGTGGAGGAAAAAAAGGGAGGTCCTAAATCTTTGGCCATATTTGTTACTCCTCTTGATACACTCCACTGTATCAAAGCATTGCACCAAGGCTACAGAAGCATTTCTATTTATGTTGGTCAAAATCTTTACATAAAATCTTCCCAAACCCATATTTCGTCATCCTGCTGGCTCATTCTATCCCTTCCTCAACAGTATAACATATGAGATTCAGTTTTAATATCAGGCTGTTGTCATGAGTTTCATTTGTTTGCTATAATTCTGTCTTGCCCCATAACCAAAGTTTTGAGAAAGCAACTATTAAACTGCTTGAAATTCAACACATGACCCAGAGCAGAGCACATGCAACCTGAGTTTCCCAATGCACACAATATGACGAACACACACAGATACAACCTGAGGAAAAGCAGAAATACAAAAACAGAGTCACTCCATACATCTTTCTTACATAGAGATGCCTCCTACAGCCACTGCTGGTAAAAATGTTGGAAAGAATTCCAGAAGCCATGGAATTTTGTTTTGGTCCCTTGTTAAGTTTTCCAAACAAATGAACTTAGTCCCTCAGTAAAACATCTCTCTGAAAACAGAAGTGGACCAAATTTAATGTGGCAGAAGAAGCCAGCAAAATAAAGATTGAGTTTAAAATGGTCTAAAACTGGGTGGGGTCTGAGGAGAAAAAACATCCCCAGTGGGAGAGTCAGGAGGGTGGGGCTTAGAATGTTGCCAGTTGCTCCATTCTAAGACCCCTCTCCCTTTCCCTCCCAGTCACATGACCCAAAATGGAGTTGCTATTAAGGAGTGGCAAAGAATTCCATAAGCCTGGCTCTGCTTACATGCCTTATCACATTCCCCCCCAAAATCAGAAGTATTGACCAAGTCTTTTGTGGAGAGGCAACCCAACTAGTTGCTATTACTGAGAAAATCTAGGCTAGCGTTCAGAAAAAAGCTCCAAAGCTAAGTTTGGGATTAACATAGAAATCCATGGGAGACCATGATCCCCCCAAACTACACTGCAGCTAGCATACAACATTTCTAAGCTTTTAATAGAAGTTATTTTACATGTTTTCTTTTTCTGTACTTGAATTCCAGAAACTACCTGCTCTCCTTTTGTGGGGAGGAAGGGCAAGGGCATGCTGGATTCCTTCAAGGCTTCTCCTATGTATATTTATCTGTCCCATGCCAGGGGAGAGGAGAAAAAGATCAGTCATGGGACATAACAGAAGAAGGAAAAATGGCTCCTGTTGCTTCTTTCATCAGGTTTTTCCATCCTTCAGATGCCAAATGTTTCTGCCTCAATACTACAGAGTTTTCTTTAAGCCAGGAGCTGACAGGTCAATGGTCTCAAAAGACAACACGGACCTGGCTTTTTTGTTTAATCAAGCTTTGGCTGGGAAGTCCTGTTCAGACAACAGGTGCCCTAGCCTGTTCTAATACACCATGGTCAGCAACCTAGAGTTACCTTGAGGTCTCCATAGGACAATGACCACAGTCAGACTCTGGTGGTTTTGTGGCTAAAGCACTGAATTCACAGCCAGGAATTGTGCAATCCCATCTAGACAGGGATGGTTGCATGTGTACTCTCATTCATCCATCCATCCATCCATCCATCCATCCATCCATCCATCCATCCATCCATCCATCCCTCTGTGGTCCTTAGCCAGCCATTTTCTTTATAGGGGCCTCAGCTAAGTTGAAGAACCTATATTTTGGGTAGAGAAAGGTCTTAGGGTCAACCTTTGTTATCACCAGTTAGAAGAAGAGAAAAGAGAGGTGATAGGAAAGACCCCAAAGTGCATTTGACACTCTGGTCCAACAATACTTGGCACAGCTGACCCAGGGCCCAAATATAATACCAAGCACACGCTCAAGTCAGTTAGTAACACCCAGTTAACTGAAATTGATTAAACAAGAACAACACTGTAGCAGCCATTTCCTGGAGTACAGCATACAGCTTAAAAATGGAGGGGAGAGAATAAAAATACACTAGATCCTGCAGCATCCTTCAAGCTGATAGTGCCAAAAGTGGCCCATTCTCCAGAGCAGATGCCCATTTTATTAGCTGATGCCAAAGTCTTCCATTTCCTTCCTACTGTGTTTGTAAACAGG